TCCAGGCTCTGAGTTAGCTGTCAGCACAGAGCCCGACATGGGGCTCGAACCCACAAACCATGAGATCATGACCTGAGGCGAAGTTGGACGCTTAACCGACTGAGCCATCCAGGCGGCCCAAAATATACATATTTTAAGGTTATTTATTTTGAGAGAGAGAAAGAGAGAAAGAAAGAGAATCCTAAGCAGGCTCCATGCTGTTAGCATCCAGAGCCTAATGCAGGGCTCAATCCCACAAACTGTGAGATCAATGACCTGAGCCAAAATCAGGAGTCAGACACCTAATCAACTGAACCACACAGGTACCTCATTAAAAAAGTTTTTTTTTTTTTAAGGTTTATTTATTTTTGAAAGACAGAGACAGAGCATGAGTGGGGTCGAGTAGGGGAGCAGAGAGAGGGAGACACAGAATCCAAAGGGGGCTCCAGGCTCCGAGCTGTCCGTTAGTATAGAGCTTGACACAGGATTTGAACTCATGAACCGTGAGATCATAACTTGAGCCAAAGTCTGATGCTCAGCCGACAGAGCCACCCAGGAGCCCCTTTAATGACATTTTTGTTTGCTGTCTTCCCTATTCCTGCTAATTCTGCTAACTCATCCTTCACCATTAGAGTTGGTCATTAATGACTTGAGTTTATCAACTTTAAAATGTAAACTTCAAAATTTTTATGTGAACGCCCATGTCCGTTTCCACTGTAGGAACCCCCTTCCCCTCAAGAAGGCAAATTTCACTACTTCTTTGCTCATTATTTTGGAACCAAATGAGCCAAAGTTGGACTTTGATTTTCTGTATTCCATGCTTCTGGCCCATCTCTTTGGAGTATGTTAAGGTGACTGGCAGGCTCCCAGAGCTCTCTGAGAGATTTGTTTCAATTTGCAGAATCCCTCCGTGCCCTGGGATACTAACCCACCAGGTATGGGCTTCAAGTCCCTTTAAAATGATGCTGAATTAGGGGTGCCTGGGTGGCTCAACCAGTGAAGCGTCCGACTCCGGCTCAGGTCATGATCTCACGGTTTGTGGGTTTGAGCCCCGCAGTCAGGCTCTGTGCTGACAGATCAGAGCCTGGAGCCTGCTTCGGATTCTGTGTCCCCCTCTCTTCCCACCCCTTGCCCGCTCACACTCTGTCTCTGTCTCCCTCAAAAATAAACATTAAAATAAATTTTTTTAAATGATGCTGAATTCTTAGAGAAGGAAAGACTAGCCTGCTTCAGTGGGGTCCTCTGGTTTTGTTCTCCCCAAATCCGCATTGAAACTATTCTCTGAAATGGTATTGGCCTCCTAGGATACTTCCTAAAGACTTACTTTCAAGGCCTCTGAGCTTGGTTTTTTATGACTCATTAAAATTGCTGTAATCACCTTGAAAACTAACCCTGGTGAAGCTCTTTGGAAATCTCTTCTGTGAGTCTGTTGTCGTCCTGTCTGGGTTGTTGACTATAAGACCATGGTGAGCTCATTCTGTTTTCTCATGGCTGTAGCTCAGTACCTGGGAGCTCAGTGAAAATGACTCTTCTCTCTTTGAACTTCCCTTTGTCCTTCAGCTGTCTGTATGCTTGATGTGCAAGTTGAAACAGGATTGTTGCTGAGTAGCTGCATGTGCAAATTCAAGTCAGTACAAGGGAAATGAAGTTCACTCTCTGGTTGTAGTTTGGGTCTTAGAGTTTGTCAGGTACGTACGTTGGTGATAAAACAGAACAAGGGATTGGTCTAAGATCCTTCCACAAAAGTGGGATCCATGAGGCGATGGCTACACAGAAGTGTCTCCACTGAGTAGCAGAACAAAGGCAAGAAGATAGTTTTTAAGTGATTTTGCCTACTTATGAAGATTTCTAAAGTTGGAGAAGTAATTTCTTCTCTTTCCCTTACGTGAAACTTTTAGTTAGTTGGTTAATACACAGCAGTTCTTTGCCTTGACCTTTTTTATCCATAGAACTTTTTCAAAAATATCTTTTATGGTAATTCATAGACAGGAACTAGGGAACTCTTTCCATAAGCTGAAATGAATGAGGACTTATAAGTTGTGTCACCAGTGGGACACTACTTTGTTTCCTAACCTCAGCCAGGTTTTAAACCTTACAATGCTTCATATAATCTTGAGACTGAAGTGAGAGTATGTCTGGAATTTAAAAACCACTTAGAATTGTTACAGGCTGCAAATAGCCTGTATATGATAACAACATTGAACCATTTAGTGGAAAAAATGTTCTCCAGGCCATAAATGACTTCCTGGTTATGTTCTTTGCCATGGCCTTAGGGGTCTTGCTGAGCATCTGGTTTTAAGGAGTTCACCTTATTCCCCCTCTGAATGTTATTGGTCTTTCTTTTATGTTAGGCGTTCTGTGTCTCATTAAGATAATACCTAGAGGGGCACCTGGGTGGTTCAGTCAGTTAAGCCTCTGACTCTTGGTTTCAGCTCAGGTCATAATACGACTCGTGAGTTCGAGCCCCATGTTGGGCTCTCTGCTGGCCCTGCAGAGCCTGCTTGGGATATTCTCTCTCTCTCTGCCCTCCGAGGCTCAAGCTCTCTCTGTGTCTCTCAAAATAAATAAACTTAAAAAAATAAAGATAATACCTAGGAGTTGCACTTGCATCCAGACTTCACGACCTTACCCTTGGACCAAAGTAACCTCCAGCCTTTAGTGGACCTGACTCCATAGTCTCTTTTCGTGTCACGTCAGGGACCATTGAGAGGCCTGGCAGATGGGCGTAGGCATTGATCCCAGAGCAGGGCGAGGTGAGAGTGAAGGAGCTAGTTGGGAACTGAAAGCTCTGGGCCTGGGGAAGACTCTGGGCCAGGATAAGAGGCTACTGTCCCTATAGGCTTTCTAGCGTGGGAAGGACACACCTTCTTTCATAAGGTAAGTCCCACAGCTGAATAGAGTTTAGGATGATGCAGAAAGATGATGAAGTCAGGGAGATCCAGTAAAGGCTGGAGGTAACTTTAGTCCAAGTATAAGGTCATGAAGTCTGGACGCCAGAGCTCCTACATCTCCCACAGGAAGTGGCTGCAGGTTGCCCTCTCCCTACACAGCGACGCTTGCTGAGAGAGGATAATTAGGATTCATAATCACCCCCAAGGCATTTAAGACTAGGAAGACTTTCTGAATTACAAAACAAAACTCAAATGGAATTTGAGGGTATGGAAAATGTATTTTATACTATTTTGATTCTTTGAAAATTGGTTATCTAGAATATACAGCTAAAAGCCTGCACTTAGCTCACCCTGCAGATTAGGGCCCACTGTTACTCTCGGGTGGGACCGCTTATCTTGACTTTTTAATGAAAGATTTCCAAGGAAGATACCAGAGTAGCATTAGGCATTGCTTCCAGGCTGATAGTGCCAAAGTCAGTTTAGACATGGCAGATGCCAACCAGAGGTGACCCAAGCACAGCACGGGTTTGAACTGCACAGGGCTGCTTATAGGCAAGTGTATAACAGCACAGAGCTATAAATGTGTTTTCCTTAGCATTTCCTTGATCATGTTTTCTTTTTTTTTTTTAGCTTACTTTATTTAAGAGTACAGTGTAACACACATAACTACAAAATCTGTGTTAATTGACTTTATGTTATCGGTAAGGCTTCTCATCAACAGCTATTAGTAGTTAAGACTCTGGGGGGTTAAAAGTTTTATGCGGGGGCAGGGGGGCACCTGTGTGGCTCAGTCGGTTAAGCGTCAGACTTCGCCTCAGGTCATGATCTCACCCTTGTGTGTTCAAGGCCCATGTCAGGCTCTGTGCTGACAGGTGGGAGCCTGGAGCTGCTTCAGATTCTGTCTCTCCCTCTGTCTCTGCTCCTCCCCTGCTTACACTCTTTCTGTCTGTCTGTCTGTGTCTCAAAAATAAACATAAAAAAAGATTTTTTTTTAAAGTTGTATGCACATTTTCAGCTGTGTGGGAGACTGGCTCCCCAACCCCTGTGTTCAGGGTCATCTGTACAGCCGTAATGAGCAAAGCTTGAGGCAAAGTGAGCCTTAACATTCATCCATAAAATAAAGGAACCCCAATACAAAGATAAAATAAAGGAAACCCAGAAGTCAACCAGAATTGGGACAAAACATTAGGGAGCAAATGAATGGAAAATGTCAAAGGAACGCAGTATATGATTTGTGTGTCAGAAAAGACATTAATAGTAACAGAAAGCTGTAGGAGACGGTTAAATGTGGCTGAGAGACTGTTTTTGCTGCATTCGTTGGGTGTGTCACACAGAGGGAAAGAGCGCAAGGAAGTCACCTTCAATAGGCTCATGGGCATGTTTCATGTCATCTCTTTGTGGCAGCGGTGGCTGGGTGCTCCATTGTTTTTGCCCCCCAGGTCCCCCATATGGGTTTGGCTCGCGGTAAATACCCAGCGTCAGCCAGCTGACTGTAGTCCTCGGTCCTGTCGGCCTGCTGGAGGCAGTTCTCGTGATGGTCTCCCCAGCTCGGGCATAGATCTCAGCAACGCAAAACTGCCCTTTTCCTCGTTCCTTCCTCTCTTTTTAGCACTGCCTTGAGCTTTAGATCCCGCCAGGGAAGCTCGCTAGACCCAGTGTGCGGTGGGGGGCTAGGAGTGGGGGTGAGGAAGGTTTCCAAAAAGACTGCTATGGGCTGTCATCATTTTAAATTCAGGGCTCTGAGGAAGTATTGGTGGTATGCATGCCCTGCTAACAGTCATCATTTGCCTCTGTTGCCAGCACTCTGGTCTTCTGGAGAAAATAAACACATAAAATAAAAGCAAGAATTGAAAAGGTCCTTCCAAACAAATAGGACATTTCTTGCGCAGGCCCCTCTCCCACCCCACTCCCACCACCACCACCACATCCCCCCCAGAGCTGGCGGGAGTGAGGAGAGCTGTCCACTGGCATCCTCCAAATGCCCCCCTGGGATCTGGATTCTCTGGTCGGCTTCTGAAGCCAACAGGCCTGATTAAGGAAGGTCTGGCTCCACAGAAAGCTCTTTGTCGGTGTAGCTCAAAACAGATGATTTTTAAAAAACCCTGCATCAGTATTTACTTTGTCTTACAGTGGTTTGAGTCCAGCCAATGACACTGGAGCCAAAAAGAAGAAAAAGAAACAAAAAAAGAAGAAAGAGAAAGGCAATGAGACAGATTCAGCCCAGGACCAGCCTGTGAAGGTAACAAGGAGGCTCTGTTCTCTTGTGACTGAGAGAGTTGCTTTTTCAGAGGAGAGAGTGTGGGAGTAACTGTAGAGGATCAGTTCAGATTGACAGTCTCCCCTGGTGTTCCTTCCAGATGGAGGAGTTGGACCCCCTGCTGCCCTAGACCTAGGTGATGACAGGTGATGACCCTGCTGTCCGCACCTTAAAAGGTGCGGCAGGTTAGACACTGAGCCCCGAGCAGGTGGCCCCCTCGGAATGTCCAGGTGCAGGTAGCTGCATGTGGTGCTGTGCTCGGTGCCATAGAGCACATCCGTTGGAACAGCCCCGGCCGCCAAGAGTGGTTCTCAGCCTTTCCTATCCTAAGTCCTCACCACTGGGAGATACAAGGCCTGTTCTTTTGAAGGCCAACCCATCTATATTGCAAGCACTCTCTTAGCGCCATAGTCATAATAGAAACTGTGAGTCCTGGAGTCCATTTCTGAGCCTCACAGTTGACCATTGACCTAGACCCTACGACCCAAGACTGACCCACTGACATGAAATTCAGGGAGGGATTGATTTGTTTCTTTTCTTTTTTTTTAATGTTTTTATTTATTTCTAGGAGAGAGAGAGAGAGAGAGACAGCGTGAGCAGGGGAGGGTCAGAGAGAGAGGGAGTCACAGACTGAAACAGGCTCCAGGCTCTGAGCTGGCAGTCAGCACAGAGCCCGACGCGGGGCTCGAACCCACGAACCGCGAGATCATGACCTAAGCGAAAGTCGGACGCTTAACCGACTAAGCTACCCAGGCGCCCCAGGATTGATTTGCTTCTTAACAACATTGGGGCACCTGGGTGGCTCAGTTGGTTAAGCGTCCAACATTGGCTCAGGTCATGATTTCACGGTTTGTGAGTTCGAGCCCCACATCAGACTCTGTGCTGACAGCTGAGAGCCTGCAGCCTGCTTCAGATTCTGTGTCCCCCTCTCTCTCTGCCCCTCTCCCACTCATGCTGTGTCTCCCTCTCTCTCTCTGCCCCTCCCTCACTCATGTTGTCTCTCAAAAATAAATAAACATTAAAAAAAAAAAAAGAACAACATTAAAAAACAAAACACCAGCACATTTTCTTTCAGGTGAAGTGCTCAGAATGGACCCCAGGGGAAGCTTAAACACATAACTCCTCTCTCCAAATTGCCGCCAGAGCAGGGTCTAACCCTCACAAGACACCTGGTCTTGACCCAGCACACCCACACTTTGTCATGTGCCACGAATATCGTGCTCCAACTTGTTGAGAAATGGTTTCAAGTCATTTTCTTACTGTTCTCAATGTCAAATCCACTGTGGGGAAAAAAAGCCCAATACCCCACCATTATTCACCATTGGATTGGCCAGGTTCTTACCCGGTGCTTCATTTAAATTAACCCCAAACCTTCAACGTCCCTGCCAGGGAGGTGGGGGTCTTCCTCGTGTTTAAGATGGGAGCAGTGGCTCAGCCAGATCTCTGGGCCAGGGATTTCAGTTCCAGCCCTTGATTTGGCTTTAGAGGCTTTTGTGTCATTGTTTGTCTGGGGGGTGGGTGTTTAGAAGACTCCCCAAGGGGGATTTGAGCCCAAGCATGTATCAAAATGATTCATTTTGAAATTAGAAACAGTTAACAAAACACCATTCACACAGCGCCTGAGTGCCAGTGCAGGTAGCCAGGAAAAATCTAGGAAAAACAGTAAGACGGATGAAATGAAAATCTCTTGTAGTCCTACCTCTGGGAATAAGCACTATAACATGTTAGTTTATGTTCTTGTCCTCAATCTAAATGGAAAAAAAAAAAAAAAGTAGTGAAGTAAAAATATCAGAAGAAATTAGGAGTATTTTTATATAATCATAAGCCTGACATAAGACCCAGAAGCCATAAGACTAAGTGGACAAATTTAAGACTTCTCTGTTAAAGTTAAAAAGGTAAACAACAGAGTGGAAAAATACTTGTAATACATGAACCAATTTAAAATAATGAAATGAGTGGGCAGTTTATAAAACTAAAAATGTTCAAATCGGTGTATGAAAAGATGGTTAAATTCACAATGAAATTTAAAGTAATTTTTTTTTCTTCTAGATTGGTAGAGTTTAAGGTTTGGCAAATCTAATGATGAGGGTAAGGAGAAATGTGCTCATTTGGATATTGTGATATTAATTAAGTGAACACACTGTTCATTGGGTTATTAATTGATACTCTGTTTCTAGAGAGCAGGTTGGTGATATATATTATAATTTCAAATGTGCATATCCTTTGACCCAGCACACCTCTTTCTTAGGCTTTATCCTACAGAAATAAGTATCCCAGTGAGCAAAACTAGATGTACAGGGAAGTTCATTACAGCCTTGTTTGTAAAGCTGAAGAACAGAACCACGAAATGCCCATCGGTGAGAGACTCGCTAAATATATTGTGGTCCAGGCACAAAGTGGACTCAGTTGTTAGAATAAACAGGTCTGTGTGTCCACATGGAAGGGTCTCTAAGACATAGTGTTTAAAGAACAACTTGTAGGGGCGCCTAGGGGGCTCAGGCGGTTAAGCGTCCAACTTCAGCTCAGGTCAAGATCTCACGTTTTGTCAGTTTGAGCCCCATGTGGGGCTCTGTGCTGACAGCTCAGAGCCTGGAGCCTGCTTCGGACCCTGTGCGTCCATCTCTCTGTCCCTCTCCTCCTCGTACTCTGTCTCTGTCTCTCTCTCAAAAATAAATAAACATTAAATTAAAAAAATAAATAAAGAATAGCTTATAGAATAATACCATATGACCCAATTCTAGTTTTTCAAAATTGTACGTGTGTGTGTGTGTGTGCGTGTCTGGAGCTTGCATGCAAAAAAGTCTGACATTATATTTGCCTCTTCTCACCCTACCTCCTAAATTAAGACTGTCGACCATAAGGATTATATTTAAGGGGTGGGATTGTTGGTTTTGTACTTTGTGAATGTATCATACATTTCTGCATTGTTTGAAATTTGACACTGAGCGTGTATCCCTTTTGCCATCAGGCATCATGAGACTAAGAAGGAGAAACCTGGTGCGGAACACCCACCTTCCCAGTAGCCCATCCCTTACCACTCTTTGCCCAGTTGTCATATGACATCTGGCCTCTGGGATTGAGACGGAGGCCCCATACCCCTTCCTTGAGTGGCACCCCTTAACTACTGAATTGGTGATTGATCCAAAGTGCTTGTTAACATAATGGGCCTTTTCTCTCCCCAACTTTGTCTTGTCCAGATGAACTCTTTGCCCGCAGAGAGGATCCAGGAAATACAGAAGGCCATTGAACTGTTTTCAGTGGGTCAGGGACCCGCCAAAACCATGGAGGAGGCTAGCAAGCGAAGCTATCAGTTCTGGGACACGCAGCCAGTCCCCAAACTGGGTATGTATGTGCTTTCTTCCCCGGGTGAGGGCAAGCGATGCGTCCTAGCTGTGTGTAAGGTGCCGTGCTGGATTTGTGAGGGAGGACAGCAGAGTCCTGGCCTTCCTTCATGGTTATTTTTAGAAAGTGGTCTTTAAAACGCAGTATGGAAACGACTAGGGGTGCCTGGCTGGCTTATTTAGTTAAGCGTCCTACTCTTGATTTTAACTCAAGTCTTGATCTCAGGGTTGTTCATGAGTTCAAGCCCCAAGTTGGGCTCCACGCTGGGTGTGGAGCCTACTTTTTTTATTTTTTTATTTAGTTTTGAGAGAGAGAGAGCAAGCGCAAGAGGGTGGGGGGGGGGGTTGGACAGAGGATTTGAAGGAGGCTCCATGCTGACAGCAGAGAGCCTAACTCAGCTCAAACTCACAAACCATGAGACTGTGACCTGAGCCGAAGTCAGACGCTTAACTGAGCCACCCAGGCACCCATGGTTGTGAAGCCTACTTAAAAAAAAAACGGGGAGGGGGGAATGGAAAAGACTAATGTTCAGGAACCTTATTATTTCACAGGAGTTCGTATTGAGAACAAATACTGATTCTTTTAGTCCATCATCATCTACTATAAGTCTACAAAGAAAAACAGTATATTGGCACACGGTGAGTGGAGATGTGTGCCCATGGGTCTGTCTTCCCACAAAGATTTTTACAGAGAGACTGTCTTGTTTATCTGGGCAAATGTCTAATCCTGGGTTGGGCCGAGTCCCCAACCTCTTCTCTTTGTCTCAGCCAGTACACACTTACCGGCTGTGTGGACCCCTGGAGTACCCTGTGCGGGTTTGGTTGGCACTCTTTATTTTTTTAATTTATTTATTTAAAAAAAAATCTTTTTTAACGTTGATTTATTTTTAAGAGAGAGAGAAAGAGAGCGTGAGCAAGGGAGGGGCAGAGAGAGAGGAAGACAGAATCCGAAGCAGGCTCCAGGCTCGGAGCTGTCAGCACAGAGCCCGATGTGGGGCTTGAACCCCCAGCCTATGAGATCATGACCTGAGCCGAAGTCAGACACTTACCCAACTGAGCCACCCAGGCACCCCTGGTTGGCAGTCTTTAAAACAGCTATACTTTTTTCTTTTTTAAATTTTTTAATGTTTTATTTATTTCTGAGAGAAAGAGAGAGAGACAGCTTGAGCAGGGGAGTGTCAGAGAAGAGAGGGAGATTCAGAATCTGAAACAAGCTCCAGGCTCTGAGCTGGCTGTCAGCACAGAGCCCAACGCAGGGCTCGAACCCACGAACTCTGAGATGATGACCTGAGCCGAAGTTGGATGCTTAACCGACTGAGCCACCCAGGCGCCCCTGGTTGGCAGTCTTTAAAACAGTTATACTGAACTCTGAAAGGGGTGGGACAGGCAGAAAATGTAAAGAGATGACAGGACAGGTGAGTTAGAGATTCCTGCTGAGACCAAGCCACAGCTAACGTCGATGGCTAACTTTAGGTGTTTCTATTGACCAAAAGTTTCTGGAATGGTTACATCATGATTCTGGGCCCAATTTCTGTTTTCTCTGTGACTGAGAAAGTAAATATGTTGAAAAAACACGGGTGCAGACACTAGATGTAAGTGACCTTTAGGTATATGTGTTAGCCAGAATATTTGGTGTGGAGGAGGGGGCAGGGGACGGCAGGCCTAGAGACCGGAGAGCGGAGAGGGGCAGCTTTGCCCACGGAGGAGGATATCCATTCCAGATGCGGGGAGTGTGCGATACAGGCTGGTGCTCCTCAAAGTGTGGGCCCTGCTGAAAAGCTTGCAGACACGCAGACTCTCAGGCCCCACCTCAGACCTGTGGGGTCTGAACTTGCAGGGGACTTGGTTCCACTTGGGAAGTTTTCAGAAACTGCTTTAGAGCAGATGCAGTTCTCGGACAGCTTAGTCACAATCCAGAAGCGAGCTGAGATGCGCCCCACAGGGGGCGGGAAGCAGAACACTGCCTGGGTGGTGAGGAGCGGTGAATTGGCAGTGGGCATTATTCCAGAACCCTGTCCCGATCCACCTGCCTTGTCTGTCAGGCTTTCCAGGTCAGCCAGGTCCCAGGCGCACTGGCCAAGCCCTTCAAGAAGGCTTTGGATCACAGTAATGCTGTTAGTGGGGCATTGCTGGGAACGGGTCCCAGTGACCACTCCCTGCCAAGGAGTGGGAAGAACGCAGAGAGCAGCACACACATCTCTGAGTGAGATGCATGAGAAAGCATTTTGTGGTGGCTGCCAGGCGTCCTGGCCCAGTTTTCAGATGGGGTTTGGGAGTTTTGGTCTGGTTTTATTCTTCTTTAGGAATTTGCAAATGGGTAACTTAGCTCCATTCTTCATAGACATGGAACCCAGGAAGGATGTGAGTTGAGATCCATGGACTTCTGTTCCTCATTAGTCCTGTTACGCTGTGGTGTTTGCCTCAGTTTCTCCACCTGTAAACATAGAGAGCGCTCCAGTTTTGTTGTCAGAAGGTCCACAAGAAAGCCACGCGTTGGCTCCTGAGAGCGTCCTGACGCTCTCAGGAAGGTGGGGCGAGGCCGGCTGGATTTCTTCTGGATGTGCCTTCTGGGCCATGTGTGGTGCGGGGCTCTGGGGAAGGGCAGGTGCCCTGAGCACCTGACCAGTCTGCCTCTCAGGTCCACTGTCAGGCCCAGACGAAGGATTCCGGTCTTTAGTGAGTCAGCCCACCGAACGCACCACATTACAGGCTTCAGTTGGTCGTGTGGCTGACACGTCAGCCTAATTCTTCCAGGTGTCCTGAGGGTAGTGCGACTTACAGCTTCTTGCTGTGACTTTCCTCCCGAGGGGGTGCTGGTGATCATGCCTGTCAAGTGTACCATTTACCCCCTGCCTTGTTGGGGGAGGTATGATTAGGTTGTATTCCACTAAAGAAGCCTGGAGTTCTTGAGAAGTTTACAACCATCGTAAGTTCACCATGAAGGGCCTTCTAAATAGCACACAAATCTCACATTCTTTGTTCCAAGTCCTTCATGGTTGCTGCGGTGCCTGGTTTTGGATCTTTGATGTTGGAAGGCAGAGAGAATGTTGCGGGGAAAGTGTACAGAAAGAGACCTTCTCCGGGGTTTTCTTTAAAGTTCCCAGCGTCCTCAGTTGGCTCCTGGGTTTGGGTGGTCTAGAGATCATTGGCTGCCCTCCCAGCATGCTGTGCGGCAGCCTCCCTCACCGACACAACAGGAGGCACTTGAGCCCTGAGAAGCTGGAGGACAGGCTGCTCCCCACAGGTCAAAGCCACGAAGCGAGGCACTGGCAGGAGAATGTGCAGAGCCTACGGCCACTCCTGCACCTTGTTGGCACCCCAGACGTGAATGCATAAGAAGTGGCATCAGCTTTCTAAGTATTTCCTGTAACTCTGCTTTGTCAGCTGTGTCTTGCAGATATCAAACAGCCTTGAGGCAGCCTGTGAGAACTGGTTTGCCATTGTCGGGGTCCCGCATCTTGCTGGGTGCCAGGTGCCCGTGAGGACGAGGACCTATGCTGTTCTCTTCACCAGCTCCTACCCCAGAGCTGGTGCATTCTGGGCCCCCTGAGCATGTGGTGAAGGAGGGAGTGGAAATGCTTGTTGCTTGGAGGGCCTTGTGACCAGCATAAGCAAAAAGACTTAGTCTATTTTTTTTTTTTATGTCTATTTTTGAGAGAGAGAGAGTAGGGGAGGGGCAGAGAGAGAGGTAGACACAGAATCCGAAGCGGGCTCCAGGCTCTGAGCTGTCAGCACAGAACCTCACGCTGGGCTTGAACTTACAAGCCATGAGATCATGACCTGCGCCGAAGTTCGATGCTTACCTGACTGAGCTGTCCAAGTGCTCCTATTTTTTAAAGTATGTTCTGCACTCAGCATGAAGCTCAATGTGGGGCTTGAACTCATGACTTGAGATCAAGAGTCAGACACTTGGGGTGCCTGGGTTGTTCATTTGGTTAAGCGTCTGACTCTTGAGTTTGGCTTGGGTCATGATCTCACGGTTTTTGTTTTGTTTTTTAATTTACTTATGTTAAAGTTTTTTTTAAAGTTTATTTATTTTGAGAGAGAGCTTGAGCTGGGGAGGGGCAGAGAGAGAGAGAGAGAGAATCCCAAACAGTCTCTACAGGGTCAGCAGAGAGCCTGATGTGGGGCTTGAGCCCACAAAACCGTGAGATCATGACCTGAGCTGAAATCAAGAGTTGGATGCTCAACCAACTGAGCCACCCAGATGCCCCATGATCTCACAGTTCTTGAGTTCAAGCCCTGCATCGGGCTCTGACAGCACAGAGCCTACTTAGGAATCTTTCTCCCTCCCTATGCCCCTCCCCTGCTTGCACTGGCATGCTCATTCATTCTCTGTAAATAGATAGATAGATAGATAGATAGATAGATAGATAGATAGATAGATGAATATTAAAAAAAAAAGATCGGATGCTTAACAGACTAAGCCACCCAGATAACCCTAAAAGGATTTAGCCTTGAGGTTATTGTAGTGCAGTGGGGAAGACCACCACTGTCTTGTCCATGGAAATCATTTAGGAAAAAATTAAAAGATTCTGAAGTTAGGGGCGCCTGGATGGCTCAGTTGGGTGGCTGTCCAACTCTTGAGGTCATGATCCCAGGGTCATGGGATCGAGCCCCACATTGGGCTCTGTGCTGGGTGTGAAGCCTGCCTTGGATTCCTTCTCTCCTTCTGCCCTTGTCCCCAGCTCGAGCTTACCCTCAAAAAAACAAAAAACAGTTTCTGGAGTTCAATGTACTTTGGAAAAGGTATAAATTCCGTATAAGGCGGGGAACATCAACCAGCACCTCAACAAGACTAGCGTAGAAATCTTAGGACTTTCCAAGGGTCTAGCCCTCGGCTTTGTGGGCTCCAAAAATTTTGCATGGCGGTGAATTGGAATTAGATTGACTTCTATTCCGTTAATTCACAAGGGCTACTTTATGAATAAATCAGAAGGCCAGTTTCAAAACTAGGAAGGAGAATTATAATCTCTTTCCCAAACAAACCTGCTGGGGAGCCTGATGTAAATAGGGGGTAGCTGGATGCTTCCTTGCTCTGTGCCCCTTTCGTTGCTTGTACTTTCCCGCATGTTGGTAATGACTCATTCATGAAATATTCACCAGAAGATGGTACATCTCGTGGGAACAGGGACCTGGTCTTTCCCTGCAATATCCAGTGCATGATGTCTGAAGCAGGGCGATGCTCACTTAATGTGCTAAGTGAGAGAAAGTTAGATGGTCGGTCCTAATAGTGTCGTCCTCAGCTCATAGCCTGAGGTGGCCATTTCCACAGTTGATGCCCCACAGGACCATGACCCAGGAGGGTCTGCAGCTACCTGTTACACATTAGAATGACACGTTTGGGTCAGGGGTCTGAAAGTCAGGAAAAGCCTAGATTGAGTGCCTCATGTGTACAGAGCCTGATGCTGGCAGCAAGCAGTGTGGGTCCCTTTTGAAGGCTCTGTTTTCGGAATGTGTTAAACATGACATTCTTCCAGTTGTGAGGGTGAATGACCTGTGGATTGTAGAAACTAAATAATGCCAAGGGCCAAAATTAAGTGGTCGGTTCGTTCAGGTTGTCACACGTGAGTCCAAGTTGGCTGTGCGTGGGCATCAGGGCTGTGTCATCTGACACTCCCAAGCGCTCTCCACGCACTCCACAGAGGTGGGCTGTCTGTCTGGCCTGGGGGTGTCATGGCAAGGGTAACTTCCCAGCAGCGTTGTGTAGATTCAGTGATTCAGCCTGTAGACACTGAGGGACCAAGTTGGCGGCAGCAGTTCACTGGCCCATGTTGCTGAAAGCCAAGGCTGACAGGGCCTCAATTGAGCCTGGCGCCTCGATGCCATCATCTGGTTCAGCAGTGGGCCCCAGTACATTGTTGCCGCTGACACAAAAGCAGCCTTGTTGCAACTCCTTATAAATCCATCCAGGTTGATGGGCCTGAGCCAGGACCAAGGCAGTTGTTTTTTACACCAGCCAGGAGGCAGGAAGCCAAATTAGTCAAGATAAATGTTTGTCATTTAGTAACCGAAGGGAGATTTAAAAGAATTTCCAAAAAGGGGCCCGTGGGTGGCTCAGTCGGTTAAGCGTCCGACTTCGGCTCAGGTCACGATGTCACGGTTCGTGGGTTCGAGCCCCGCATCAGGCTCTATGCTGACAGCTAGCTCAGAGCCTGGATCCTGTTTTGGATTCTGTGTCGCCCTCTCTCTCTGACCCTCCCCTGCTCAAGCTGTCTCTCTCTCTCTCTCTCTCTCTCTCTCCTTCAGAAATAAATAAAACATTAAAAAATTTTTTAAAGAATTTCCAAAAACAACCAAGCACCTTGGATCTTAGCGATTGTTCTGAAACTTTGCCACGAGTTGGCTTTCAGCTGGGGACTGAGGGCGGCTGGAGAGATGGTCTGCAGTTGTCAAGCACAGAGTGTTCTTCAGCTGGAGGGCTTCTAGGGACAGGAGGAATTTGCCGTGGTCGATGTCTGAGCTGAGCCCCCTTCCCTCCCCCGGGAGATGGAGGGTGAGGCTCTGTGCTCTTCTTCCAGGAGAAGTGGTGAACACGCACGGGCCCGTGGAGCCTGACAAAGACAACATCCGCCAGGAGCCCTACACCCTGCCCCAGGGCTTCACCTGGGATGCCTTGGACCTGGGGGACCGTGGTGTGGTGAGTAGGCCTGGGCAGGCCGCGATGTGGATTGAGTGAGCCCTGCTGCCGTACATGCAGAGACAGATGCTCCTCAAGTTTTCTTCAAGAGCTCTGTTGAGAGCCAATCCAAGCAGGTCGGGGCAGACACACACCTCTCCCACCCCGGCCCCCCGTCTGTTACGTCTGGGGCCTGCCCGAGACACCACATGAAAGAGCACTCGGCTTCTCGGGCAGGGTGAGAGTCTCCACAGCTCCCCAGAGTGATCCTTTGCTCCCAGGTGTTCGTTGGTCTCGTTCATCTTTTCATCTCTTGTCTTAACAACACCCTGGCTGGTTAGTTGGCTGACATTGACCTTCTTGCTCCTCTGTGTACCTGTGTCACAGCCGCTCTACTTCTCAGTGGTTCGGTTCCCTTGTGCAGCTGGGGTGCTTGCTCCCAGACAGTCCCTGCCATGCCCGGAGTGGAAAGGGCTTATGAGATGAAACGTGGTGTTTGATAGTTTGCCTTGTCCCTCTGAAAGTCTTCAAGCCCCAGGGTGTCGGGGCCGGCCCCCCTGTCTGGCACAGTGGCTCTGAGGCCGCCCCTTTTCTCTCTGCAGCTAAAAGAGCTCTACGGCCTCCTGAACGAGAACTACGTGGAGGATGACGACAACATGTTCCGGTTCGACTACTCCCCGGACTTTCTGCTGTGGTGAGCCGTGAGGGCTTCCTGGCTTGGGTGGGCGTGGGGCAGGGCCGCTACAGCGGGCCCGCTTCCTCATCCCTGCTAAGAACCAGCTTTCAGATGCAAGCTAGTGTGTCTGTTTTGAATTCCCACATCTGAAGGAGAGAGAGTTCCTTCCAGTGGAGCTAAGAATCAAAACCTTATTTAAGGCAGAATGACTGGGGGAAGGAGGCCTTTGTGGCATCGGCACCCAGAAGAGATTGCTGTGTTGTATGGTGACTTTATGCTCACTCACTTTGACTGCTTAAGCTGGAGGCCACTGAGCGTCAGTGGCTCAGACAGTGGCTGAGAAATCACAGAGAACGCAGAGCTCTGGTCTCCACCTGTCCCCCGGACACCATCACCCCCTCTTTATGCCCACCCAGCCCTCCCTTTCCAGGCAGTCGTCCATCTCCATTTCAGCCTCATGCCTTTACGCTCCTGGATACAAAACGTGGCCCCAGAAGGCTGGATGGCTCAGCCAAGCAAGGCCATTTTCATATAGGAAATGAGTCTTCTTTCTTTTGAAATCTCAGTAGGTCTCATCCCCCCTTCCCTTTTTACACAAAGTCACCATATAACACAGTAATCTCTTCTGGGTGCCGATGCCACAAAGGCCTTAGTATCACAGCTTGGATTGGGTGGGTAAGGAGGCCAAAGGGGCTGAGCAGGAGGAAGGGGCTCTGGCTCGATCCCATGTGTGTTCAGGAGGGCTTGGCCCTAAGGAGAGTTTAGCAGGTAACTCCCAGGGAGGTGTAGCAGGCACTTAGGACAGACTTGGCTGTGGAGCCCAAGCAGCCGGCCCAGCCCTCTGGTCAGCAGCCGCCGCGGCCTCGGTCTCTCTTCCAGGGCTCTCCGGCCGCCTGGCTGGCTTCCCCAGTGGCACTGTGGGGTTCGAGTGGTCTCGAGTCGGAAACTGGTTGGGTTCATCAGTGCCATCCCAGCAAACATCCACATCTATGACACGTAAGCAACGGCCCCCCCCCGCCCCCCCCATATTCCTACCCACCATCCAGCTTGGTTTGCAAGCGAGGGAAGATACAAGTATCTTCCGCAAAGAAAGGGTGAAGATCCCGTGAAGGGAGGGAACTTGGGTCCCGGGGATAGAAATTCATAATAGGAACCAGGCCTTTTGCTCTGAGTCGTTGCTGGTTCTCTTATTTGTGCTCTGGGCTGAACGGAGTCCAGCCTGAGGACCCGCGTGCTAGCTGCGCAGGGACTCAGTGTCTGCACTTGTACCCGTCACATGGTGGTGCACTTGAGCAGCCTCAGAAACAGGCCAGAGCTGGTGCGCCTCAGCATCCAAACCTGCACGGGACCTCTGAGCTCTGCTCTTCGTTTGCCCTGGAAACATCAGAACTGGGTGCCGCGGTCTTCCAGGCCTGCAGGCCTTGCATTCTAGTGGGAGTCAGAACCCTGGGAACTCCGGGGTAGCCCTTGACTTCCTCTAAGGTGCCCTGGCCGCTCCAGGTGGGGCTCCCTCATCCTGCAACTCCTGGTAGTGCCTCCAAATAGAGTGATGTGCTTGAGGCCCGCTCCCATGGAAAGCGCGGTCTGCCTGAGGGAGTGGGTTCCTTGCCTCATGCAGCAGAACAGCGGGAGGGTCGGGCGGCTCTACATGCCTACTGTGGGGTGGGAGTGGTGGCGGGTCATGTGCCTGAGCTGACGGCCCCCACACACGGTGGCCCCAAGAGCTTGAGGGGGTGTCTTCCCCACTTGAAGTCTGGTCACTGGGCGCTCTCCCTTTCTCTCCAGAGAGAAGAAGATGGTGGAGATCAACTTCCTGTGTGTCCACAAGAAGCTGCGCTCCAAGAGGGTGGCTCCGGTCCTGATCCGGGAGATAACCCGGCGAGTTCACCTGGAGGGCATCTTCCAAGCTGTTTACACTGCTGGCGTGGTGTTACCGAAGCCCGTCGGCACCTGCAGGTACAGACCGCTTGGGGGGCGCTCACGGCCCGGGCGTGCCGCTCCTGCTGAGGAGCTTGTGCCGCCGGCCTGTCTCCTGCCTGATGAGGTGGCTGGTGGGTGCCCACGGAAGCCATGTAGGGAGCACGGGGAGTGAAGGGGGAGGCTGTAGGGACAGACTGGAGAGCGAGTGCCCTGTCCACAGGGCTTAGCCATTCTCCACCCCTACTCATTCTTGCCTTTTGGAGATGGGAACTCAGTCTGCTGGGGTTTGGTTGTAGTTTTTAAGGACCAGCCCAAATCTGGATTTGGATGGTAAATGTCCAGAGGTGTTCCGTGGTTGGCTCAGTTCTGAATATTATGTGGGCCGAAGAGAGCATGTGTGATCCCCGTGTGACCCAAGGACGGCCTCTGCCTCACAAGCTGTTTGAAGCAATTGAACAGCCTCTGCCTCAAGAAATTCAGAAGGGAAACAGCAGGCAAAGGCAGTAGAGGAGGGAGGGTGAGGGTAAACATTCCGAGAACTAGAATGCTTTTCAGTGAAACTTCATTCCACAAGTGACAATTGCTCTTCCCAGACAACTGCTGTAACAGAGAAGTGGCTTTTGAAATCAGGAAAGATAAATAGAAAATCCGGGAAGAGCTGTGGCAGCTCTGCATTTACTGGTGGAGGTTGGAGGGGGGGGGAGTGTTGGAGTGCCCAGTGAGGCCACTGCTCCTGGGGCCTTGACTGGTCTCTCACGCCACCTGCTGGCCGTCCGGAGAGCTCCGTGCGATCCCCCTCCTTGGGACTTGGCCAGGATCCTCTGAGGACAGGACATTTGTGTCCCCACAGGTACTGGCATCGGTCCCTAAACCCGCGGAAGCTGATTGAAGTGAAGTTCTCCCACCTGAGCAGAAATATGACCATGCAGCGTACCATGAAGCTCTACCGACTGCCAGAGGCCAGTGGTGCTCTGGGGTGATGGGCAGGGGCAGGCGAGGCCGAGGAGAGCCCGGCCCTCAGCAGGAGCGCAGCAAGGCTTTGGCGGCGCCATGGGAGCGGGAGCTCATCAGAAAAGGGACCCACTTCATCGTTCCGGGATTCCCAGCCTTCCTGTCCCTGTTGTTCCCGTTGTCTCTAGCAGAGGGTCTTGTTTTAGTTTTGACTTTCTCGGTTCTCCTGTGTCTACTCTTGGGCCGGGTTCCCTGCATCTGTTAATGAGCTCAGAGGACACCAAATCTGGGATGTTGGCCTTAGGGAAGGGTAAAAAGCAAGGTGAATCTGATCACTGGCCTGCAGTGCCCCCCAGAGCCCAGTATAAATAAGTTTTGGGGCATCTGGTGACTAGGGAAAGGAGGGGTGACCCCAGCCTATTAAGGAAGCCTCCATTTCTTCTTCTTCTTTTTTTTTTTTTTTTTTTTTTTGATCATTTATTTTTGAGAGAGAGAGACAGCATGAGCAGGGGAGGGGTAGAGAGAGAGGGAAACAGAATCTGAAGCAGGCTCCAGGCTCTGAGCTTGCTGTCAGCACAGACCGCAAAGTGGGGTTCGAACCCACGAACCATGAGATCATGACCTGAGCCAAAGTTGGATGCTCAACCAACTGAGCGACCCAGGTGCCCCTTAAAGCCTCTATTTCTAATCCTGTTCCCTCCCCATCCCCACCAACCCCCCCACCCCGTTCACATTTGGCCCGTGAAAGACAAGGCAGCCTTGAGTGTGCTGGTTTTCTGCTCTGGGTCTCAGGTTACCCCGAATTTCCCGTGAAAGAAATGCTGCCCCTCGCTCCCCAGCTGTGCATGGTTTCAGGATCCTTGTGCTCTGAAGGCCGTGTGTCTTTCCTGAGGGCTCTTCTGTTCTGTGGCGGCACGGCCCCTCAGCACCTGCAGACCAGAGGGGCACCCGCCTGGACTGGTCAGCCACCAAGCTGGCGTAATCAGCCTGGCATCAGGTTCATCCTGTATTGGGTCAACAGTGTCCAGATTTGAGAGACAGTGCAGTACGGTTAGATGCTGCCCCAAAAACCAGATCTGGGGGAGCTGTGATGGAGTCTTCCTTCTGTTATTATGACAGATTGGTTCTGAGTTTTAGGCAGGCAAGAACATTCTTACAGTGGTGTCGTAGCTAGGATGTATCTGGATCTCCCACCTGGGGGTGAGAGGCCCTTTCAGTGCAGGATTGGAGGTGTCACTATGGGAGCCGCCATGTAGAAACGAGGTCAGTGGGTGTTCCCTGGAGACCTCAGGATTCACCAGGATTTGGGTGGGGAGAGATCCTCGAACTGTTCTTTTGGAAACAGTTTCTACCCAGGGAAGCAGTTGGATCAGGCGGTCACCGAGGTGCAGAAACTGTAACCCCACCCTGCTTTCAGACTTGGCTGACCCCACCTTTGTGTGTTGGGCCTTTGGGGATGTGCTGTCAGTACCAGTATTTACTCCGGAGCATCACATGGCTTCATTCCATGGAAGCCTTTCTTAAGAAAAAGCAGCTGTGGGGTGGGGATCCTGGTTTAGGATGAAATCCCAGGAGTTTGGTGCTTTTCTTTGGAATCTAACTTGCAGCAGGCCCTGCTGGAGGCGCTGCCATTGCAGGGTCCAAACAGACAGGCACCGCGGGCCCCTGATGTGGGCTCTGCCCGGCCCATGGGCTCCGGCACGCCTGGGTTGGGGGCTGGCCTGTGACACACTCGAAGGCTGCGGGACAGAGACAGGCACAGGAGGAGATCGGCTACAGTCCAGTGGGAGATGGCGAGGGTTTGGAGGAAAGGAGCCAAGAAAGGCTCGAATAGGCTGACGAGTAGCACTGGGCCCGGCCTACCCCAGCGCATCCATGAGGGGTGTGCTCCATCATGGCCCTGTTGACGTGTGGGGCCGGGTCATTTTCTGTCACGGGGACTGTCTTGTTCATTGTACGATGTTTAGCAACTTCCCTGGCTTCTACCCATAGATGCCAGTGACGCCCCTCCCCCTTGTGCTGACCAAAAATGTCGCAGAGTATTGTCAAATGCCCTCTGGGGGGGCACAGTTGCCCCTGTTGAGAACCACTGGGCTGGAAGGACAGAAAGGACACTCAGAACTGCCAGCTGGTCTGGAGGGTGGAAGGGCTTGTGCTCCGTGTTAGGGGGTTTCGAGCAAGGGAGGGGCGTGAGGGGTTGTGTTTCCTTAAGCAGGTGGTCTGAGCATGTGGATGAGCGATCAGAGCGATGGCCGCAGCCAGAGAGGGTAGCCTCCGCTGGGAGGGGGAGGGCCGGAGACCCCGACAAGGCAGGACTCGCGCCTGACCTGAGCAGTAGGGCAGCAAGCGAGAGGCCATCGCCGGGGGTGACTGAGGATCTCTTGAGGGCCTGGGTGGACGGACCGGGGTGGGGCAGGAAGAGAGACTGTGGAGTGTTCGGTTCCTGCGGGGCTGGCTAGGGGCCAAGACGCTCACGGCACAGCTGAGGCCATCTTGTCTTCCTTCATTCCAGACTCCCAAGACAGCTGGGCTGCGACCAATGGAGAAAAAGGACATTCCAGTAGTGCACCAGCTCCTCAGCAGGTACCTGAAGCAGTTCCACCTGACACCGGTCATGAGCCAGGAGGAGGTGGAGCACTGGTTCTACCCCCAGGAGAATATCATTGACACCTTCGTGGTGGAGGTGAGTGGGGAGGGGAGTGCTGGGCCCCCATGAGGCTTCACCCTCAAGCGGCTGGGTTTCTCACACTTGGTGACTGAAGACCTAGCCGACCGATGGCAGTGTTGGCACCCTAGACTTCCTCGACCCTCCATGCTGAGTCCTCCCTGAAGACAGGAAGTTGTAGCTTGTACCTGCTAAAACGGTACCCTCTGGACTTGGCACAGGCCCTTCTTTCTTTTATCCCAATCCCCAGTCCCCACTGGTGACACAGTAGAAGAGAACTGGTCCCTCTTCCTCAGGTAAACCTTCAATTCCCTGTGTGTCCCGGCTTGAGGTAGCGCGGGCCGGGCGTCAGGGATGCAGTGTAGGGGAGTGTGAGCTGCACAAAGTCCCTGACAGGGCGAGAGCTCAACAGGGTCACAGCCCCTGGTCCGGCCCGCCTTTTCCTCCTGGCTATGTCCTCGGGTGCCCTCGGCCAGTGTGTTCTTTCCTGCCTGCACATCCTGTTCGTCTGAGGGGGCAGAGCTGCCCGCGGGAGGCTTGGAAGCGATAGGAAACGCTTTCCAGGCTGCAGGACCACTGCGCACATGTGACATTGCCTCCTTTTATTGTTTTCCCTGCAGAATGCAAACGGTGAAGTAACAGATTTCCTGAGCTTTTATACGCTTCCCTCCACCATCATGAATCATCCAACCCACAAGAGTCTAAAGGCTGCTTATTCCTTCTACAACGTCCACACCCAGACCCCTCTTCTAGACCTCATGAGCGACGCCCTTGTTCTCGCCAAAATGGTGAGAAGCAGACTGGAGGTCCTGGACACGCTTGGGGAAGGGCAGTGGGAGCAGTGGTGAGCACAGCCAGCCTCCCCCTCTGCTTAGGAAGGGGCCCGGGCACTTCTCAGCCAGCGGCTCAGAACTAGGAGGGAGCAAGGGGCGTCCACATGAAGTGAAGGCACTGAACTCCTGATTTATTTCAGTGAGTTTCATTCTCACGGGAGGCGCTGCCAAGGAGCCTGAATAGCCAGGCCTGCTCCGGGAGTAAAGGGGTTCTTACGACTTCCCCAGCATGGGAGTGGGGAGATTAGTCCCTGTCGTGGTGAGTCATTGGAGTGGCTGACTGTAGCTCATGGGGGGAGGGGCTCAGACTTTAAAAAAAAAAAAAAAAAAAAGACCCAAAGAGGTCAGCGTCAGTCAGTCCTTCATCGTGGGTCCTGCCTGAGCTGAGAGTAGCCCCCAGGGGTCGGCCAGATGGTGGCCAGTCTAGTCTGTGCCCTGTCAGACCTTCTGGTCAACTTGGTGAGATTTCGGAAGCATCTTTGTCATGGTCTCAAAGCAGTGTGTCAGCTGCCTAGTCTCAGGGTCCACCCTGGAGGCCTAGTAGTTGAGGTGTCTGATAGGAGCAGCTTCTCAGAGGAAGGGCTTCCGGGCTTGGTCCCCAGAGAAGACTGTACTAATGACTAGTGTTTGGGGGAGGCAGGAGCAGTGACCCGGATGCTGAGTATGCGAGGGTGCACTCGGAGGGTGCACTCGGAGGGCCAGCGAGGAGAGGCCAGGTAGCGCGGCGTTCCGAGTGTCACAAGCGCCTCCACCGGAGAGCAGGTGCTGGCCGGAACCTGGATTTAACGTGGATGCGGCTGGAGCTTCTGAAGGGCAATCCTGTCCCGGCCTCCTGTGTGATAACAGCTTGCACATGACCGAGGCGGGAGGGCGAGGCAGCTTTGGTCTCTCCTCACCTGTCCTTGTTTTTCCCTGCTGTGCAGAAAGGGTTTGACGTGTTCAATGCCCTGGATCTCATGGAGAACAAAACCTTCCTAGAGAAGCTCAAGTTCGGCATAGGAGATGGCAACCTGCAGTATTACCTTTACAACTGGAAGTGTCCCGGCATGGGGGCAGAGAAGGTATGTCCTCGCCTCCAGCAGGACGGGGCCATGGGGCTGGGCCCTTGGTCACTGGCGCTCGGGCCCCTGAGAAGTCCCCTCCCTCTGAGGGCCGGATCAGCAGAGTCCACATTCCCCATTCGGCAGTAAGTGTGGGGTTGGCAGAGGGGACAGGCCCCAGAGCCACACAGAAGCAGCAAGCCTGTCTCCAGCTTCTCTCCCCATGAGGTGAGCCGCCTCGGCTGGCTGGAGGCAGGGCATTCAGGACCGCCTGGGGGAACCGCAAGTCAGGCTGCCCACGCTCAGCCAGGAGGGTTACAGTCAAAGGATATGAGGTGTCTTCTGTGCCGGGCCACTGTCCTCATCCCCGTGTGACCCTCAGCCCTTCCTCTGCTGTGCTGGCCCCAGAGGGCAGCGCGGGGCTGTGGTGTCCTCAGCAGTTACAGAATGAGGGACAGACCAGCCGGGGGCAAGGCCTCGTGACTAGTGAGGCTCAGGTTGCTGGCAGTTGCTTTCCTTGAAGGACCTGGGTGACGTCCGTAGCCCCTCACGGAAGTTGAGTGAGGGCTCCGGGCTCCCGGCGGCACTGTGCAGACCTCCTTCCTTGGACCTTCTGAACCGGGTGGGAGCGTGGGACAGACTTTGGATGGCTGTCCACTCAACCCTGCCTCTCCCTGTTGGCTCCCCTAGGTTGGGCTGGTGTTACAGTAATCAGTTGCCAGTGAGACTCTGGATAAAGCCACTGAGAATTCAAACCAGGAAATGGAACCCCACCACTTGTCGGTCCAATTTTCACAGACGTGAGAATCCCTGGCAAAGGGAACAGAACTGAACCGGCTTTACCAAACCGCCGCTGAACTTGACAATTGTATTGCATTGTGATGGCGTAGGCTGCGCGATGTCACCTCTGGCCGTGTCTCTGGCCTCCCTGTTTTCCACTTAATCACATCCTCACGCAGCCGTGATCAAGGGAATGTAACTGCTGAAAACTAGCTCGTGATTGGCATATTATGGAGTTAACGGGTGAATAATAAAAGTATATATATATATATTATATATATATAAATATTTTAAATATCTTTCATGTTCCAAATGTACAAGGATGCTTGGTCTCTAATGAAAAACTGAATCCAGATCATTCCTCAAAATTAGAGTGCAAGGACAGTGCCAGGCAGACACATATTGGTACCGTAAATTATGTCCTTCTGAGAGCAGGCATTGACTTTCCTTAGGGGAACGGGAGAAAGGATGTGGGGAATCTTAACTGCTCTCTCTTCTGGATGAGCTGGGATGATTATCTTCGAGAAGGCAGGGTGAGATGGAGGGACTCTGCTGGGCTTGGGGAGGGCTCAGGGCTCCCAGAACTGCAAGCGGTGTCCTGGGTGGGGCCGCCCTTTTCTGTATTCTGAAACAGGGAGGGCGGCGGGGACTGTGGTGGAAACAGATTGCTTAGACGGAGTCCCTTCTTCCCTCCTCGCTCTGCTCCCTGTGGGAAGTCATCCTGCCAACCGATTTTAAAGGGCTCTTTAGCCAGCTGTTGCCAACTTTATACGGACGTGCCCCCTGTGAGATTGATGTTCCACTGCCTGGGGTGACTGGCAGTTTGAAGGGGACCTTTGACCTCCTTGTAGCATCTGGGACCTTGTGGAGACTGTACCAGTGCAATCCCTGCTTAGCTCCTCTTAGAGCGAAGAGCCGGCACCCTGACCACCCTGGGGTGTCCAGCCAAGGATGGCATGGGGCTGGTACCCAGAGCTCTTCAGCCGCCAGCCTGTGGCCTGTGCCTTCCAGTCCCTCGGCCAGCTCTTGTGCTCCTTTCCAAGATGCACAACCCGCAAGTCGTAGCAAGGAGCAGTGGCCAGACACCGATCCGGATTGGACAGCAGAAGTGATCTCGGGTCGCCATTGGCTGAGTCTGATTTCCGCCGCTGAGGTGTTGTGGATTTTTGTGGTGGTGGCAGGGACCATTGATGCTGCCAGTTCCCCCATTAGTGGGGGAGAGGCGGGTCATGGGCCTTCCATGCAGGCGCTCCTCAGGCATTGCTCAGTCAGGTAGCTTGGGGAGGATTGGACTGTGCCGCTGTGAGCAGCCGCATCCGGGGCGGGGGGTGGGGGGGTGTGTGTGTGTGTGTGTGTGTGTGTGTGTAGCTGCTCAAGGAGGAAGTAAACGGGAGGTAGCGTGGGCCAGTTTCCCGGCTGCTTGCAGTCCACAGCTACTCGCGGTTGCAGTCCACAGCTACTCGCGGCAGGAAGGAAGCCTTGGCCAGGAGGCAAAGCTTATTAGCCCACTCTGGCTAACAGAAGCCATGCTCAGCTGGCTAAGGGAGGTTTGCCAGAGGCCAGCCAGAGGCCAGCTGGGAGAGGCCCCAGAGCTGGAGGAAATAGTGTGCTTGGGCTGGGGGCCTGCAGTGTGGACTGCCCCCATGGCCACTCCAGTGTGTTGCATTTTCGTCAGCGGCCCCTAGGGGCCTCCTTTCTCCTCTTGTCCCTGTGCTGCCCACTGCATGCACCAGCGATCATGGCTGACCTTTGACTCCTTGACTCCAAGATACCCAGACCAAAGAAGCTGCTGCTCTTAGCAAGATGTGCACCGCATTCCGCAGATGGGAAGAGTCGGAGAGACACAGGCTTGCCCCTACAGCCTCACAGACCTCAGACACCCAGCATCCCGAGTCCCAGAGCAGCTTGCCCTGTGCGGGGCCCCTGAGGATATCAGACAACAAAGCGCCCGACTCGTTCCTACCTTGGGCGGCACCTCAGACTTGGAAAGGTTCCCCATCTTAGGCCTGGGCAGCTCTGGGCCAGGTCCCGGTCCAGGCTGCCTGCTGAGAGTTGGGGTGCACACCAGCCCCTGACCCGGTCCTGGAATGGGAACTGCGAGTCCGTGGCTGTCTAGAAGAAACAGATCTCCTGGAAAGGCCCCCAAGTCTCCCTCCAAAACCGTGTGGCCTGCTCCTTGGACTCTGCATGGTAGGCACCCTGCTCAGCCCTCCACACTGCCTCCCAGGGCTGCGGGGGTTGGCTTGGTGCCTGCTGTTCGTCTCTCTTTGTCCAAACAGATCCCAGCTTCTTCACTCAGCCCCTTCCAGGACTTCTGGGCAAAGAGCTCAGAAAGAAGCACTGCTTGGGCTTCGGGGCTCCCCGCAAGGAGCCTTGCAGGATGGCAGAGCCAGGGCTGGCTGGCTTGACCCAAACAAGGTATGGACCCTGGGGCCTCCCAGCTCATCACCTGGGGCCTGCCTCGGGCAGCCGTTGGGAGTTCTCCCGGGGATGGCCGTCGCCCTCTGCCACCGGTACTCCTTGCTGCCACCGCTGGGCTTTTGGACTCTGTGTTTCCAGATGTTTGCTTCCTGCTTTTGACTGACTCTACATTTGACCCCCTGGCACGTTCCTATGGGCCCCAACCTCTATGTAGGGGAGAGAGCTGAGGAGAAAGGAGGCCTGAGTTCTGGATGGAGGTGTACATAGGGCTCACTTGCCTTGCACATGCCTGTTTTCAAAGATGCTAATGTTTGGTTTGAAGGCTGGTCCACACCAAGCCACCTTAACACCCAGGTTTATTGGGAAATTCAGGCCTTGCCTGCAACTTTTGTCTGACTGCCGTGCCCCCCTCCCTTACTTGCTGCTCACTGAAGCCTAGATATGGGGGTCCCTGTGGCCTGAATTCTTTGCCCAAAGATGACCAGCATTTAACCAACCGAAGAGATGGCCCAAAGGCCTGGGTAGCATCACAGAACAGCAGTCTGGAAAGGGGGAGGGCCTGACTATTGGGCCAGGGGAGGGGCAGAAGCATGTCCCTGGCCAGGTGCCCACCCACCCAGGGGGCAGCCCTCTTGTGGCCTGTCCCGGCTGTCCCACAACTAGGGCCGTCTTCGCTTTTGCCCCACCGCAAAGCAAAGGCAGGCCCACCAACGGGAGGCCGTGTGGGACAGTCTCATTCAATTCAGTTACAAAATACTAACTGCAGGCAAGGACCCGAATCTGGGAACCGAGAAGGGGGAAGCTTCACTTTTGTCTGGATTGTTTTCTGGGCTGTGGGAGGGGCATCCGTTTCCAGGACGGGGGAGGCACCAAACTCATTGTAGATCCACTGGTTCCATCTCACTTGTTTCTAATAAAGTAAGCAGCTGAACCAAACCTCTCTGCCCTGGCATTCCTCGGGTCAGCAGGTGGCAGTGGAACAGAGCCCATGGCCGGGCTAGAGGAGCCGTTCAGGAGGCCGTCGGGCCTTGCAGGAAAGTCCCTCGTCACCAGTCCAGGGAGGAAGCCTTTGAATACTTTCCTTTGGCAAGGTTCTCCTTTTAGGGCACAGCTGGCTCTTTTCCCCTGACTTTTCCCATCTGCCTGTGAAGAGTTGGTACTGACCCAGGTTCAGTCTGTGTAAGAGGGGCAGCTGGCTTCTGGGCCAGCACTGGGGCACCTTGGCGGAGGGGCCGGCCCTGGCTTCCACGGCTAAGAGCAGAGCCCCTCCTCAGGCTAAGTCAGCCGTGGCTCCCCTGAGGAAGGGCCCGGGCCCCGCCCTGTCTCACACCTCCCTTATTGGGCCAGCGGCCTGATGGTTCTGTTGAGTCACCAGGGGTAACCCTGTAGGTCACCAGGCCCGCTGCACAGCTACTGAACCAGCTCTCTGAGGAAGGGCCCCAGCAACTGCATTTAGACTTTCTAGTCCCCAGTTCTCTTCCTCTGGAACTTTCTATCCGTTCCCTGACCCTGTGCTGCATTCAGGTACCCTGTGGCTGGTACCTCCAAGTCCTTTCCCAAGGAATCTGGGCTCAGAGCTGCAGCCTGAGGACACAGGACTCCTGACCCCTCCTAAACTCGCCCTGTGTCTCTCCCCTCCCCCAGCAGGTCACGAGCACCTTGGTTCCCACCCTTAGATTTGGGCTGAGAATGGAGACCTGTGGGCGGTCACCCAGGGACCCGAGTTTTAAGTTATTTCTTTGCCTCCACCTCGCATAATCAGTTCCCACCAGATTTCTTGCATTGAAGACTCACCCTTTCAAGGCCCCCTTCCTGGCTTTGGGGCTCTTACCCTAGGAGGAAACCGTCTTGTGCCGCCAAACCAGAGAAGAGACGCAGGAATGGGGGGGCTAAGCCCAGGGTCCAGTGCTCACCTGACAACGGGACTGTCCACACAGGCCCTCCCCAGAGCTGGCCCTGCGGGGACGGGACAGTTCTGACTGCTCTATATCTGCACACCGTGACTGGCCTCAGCTTCGCCATGCCTCCCACGCCAGGCCTGTTGTGGCCATCTGGCTTCCTACAGCCCTGAGGACCAGGTGTCCGGGCTCCTGGTCCATTCCTTCGTGATTCCTGGATAGGGAGCCTTCTGAACCACTTCCGGAACTGAGCATCCTTTTAGCCATGAATTCATCAGAGCCAATGCCACGGAGCATGAGAGCATGAGCAGAGGGCAGGGGGAGGCTGTCACTTCCTGCATCAGGTCATGGTTGCAAGAAGGTAGGGACTTCCCAGCCCTGGGTTCCATGGGCTGATTCAAGCCCTAGCCCAGTGCCTTCCCAAGTCAGAATTGGCACTTTTGCCCACTGGAGCCTAAAGTGCCAGGGCTTCACACTGAAGCCTGGAAACCCACTTGCTGGCCGGTTTTCCCCGAATCCTGGCACCTGCTGTCTCGGCCCCTCCCCCAGCTGCTCCAGGCATCCCGAGCAGCCAGCTGATTTCTAGGCCTTCATCTGAGAGGCTGGTTACCTGGTGGATGGAGAGCCCCAAGTCTCTGGGATTTGTCTACTGACCAGAGGCCTCGGACACAGCTGAACCCAGAAAGCGGGGTCTGTCGGCCCTGTCCCCATCCCCTTTAGGGCCATAACAGTTCTTCCCTGGCAGAAGCCCTCTCCCACCACCCCCTCCCCATTCAAGGCCCTTCATGGTTGGGGGGCAAAGGAGTGGTGAGTTGTCCCCATAGTCCTGTGATGGAAGCTGCTCTAAGCCAGGAGGAGGGGTCAGGCTATTTTGAGCCGTGGCACCTCCTCCACCCCTCCCACCCATTCCCTGGCTGTCTTAGACACGTCCAAGGCCTGCTGGGGGCGGGGGCCCGAGGGACTCTGCCCTCATCCCTCCT